GAAACACACCAGAAACTCTATAGTTTTTAGTTCAAGGATGTATTTTTCCACTTAAGGAGGACAGAAGAACAAGTGTAATTACAGACCCTTCCGGAAAGAAGGGTTCTGGAAACAGTGCACACTCAGGCAAGAGACACACACTTCCTTGGAACACGGCTGTCCTGCATACATACCATAAGCACATCACCACCTCCCAGGATCAATGGGATAGATTCTGCTTGAATATCTGTAGGAAGACTATAGGAAAGAACACATTTATACAAATAGAGGTTATCAGAAGAAAAAAAAAAGATTTTTGCTTACACAAGAACCTATAGATATCACTTCAATGTATCAGTAACGTAAGATGCGGAATAGCAGGTGAAAGTTATTCCTCCTGGTTTGCTGCTGAGGAAGTGAAGAGGTACAAATTTACACGGAAGGTTTAGAATAGCTGATGTGCTTTGACAGGAAGTGACAAGTGGATGCAGCGAATTCAATTGCACCCCAAGAAGAGGTCCATATCTTACCTCACTATGCTAATGACAGAAGGAAAAGATTAATTATTGATTTACAGATTTCTTCCCTTCCAGTATGGTTCACTTTTAAAGCCACTTACATAGTCCTCATTTACAAAATTCCTACTTAATACTGGAAAATAAATTAATGAAATAAATGTAACTAGTATCTTGAAACCATCTCAGCAAATTAATGCCATGTATACAGGAAAAGAATTACATAAATTAAGACTATCCATACAGGTAACATTCATTCAAAATTACAATTCAAAACTAGCTTTAAAATACTGAATTTCAACCCAATAAGCAACTAACACCAGGAAGAATAACTCTGGTAAAATAACACACTCAGTCATCAACCCTGAAAAACACAAATTCAGCCTACAGTTTGGAGAACGCTTACTGAACATACATCATTTAAATGACAGTATTTCATATAGCAATCCCACAATACATAGTAAATAAACCTGAAGTACAGGGGCTTTTGTCAAACAAATGACACTGAAGCATAAGCTGTCATACTTTGCTCGTCCAAGCTTGTGTTACCACTGCAGTTACAGTTTGATCTTCAGCTGCTCACACTATGAGGAAATGTAAGAGATGCAACAATGCTAAAAGGAAATATATACCCCTGCTATCACATTACAAAAAAGTGGGTATTTCCAGAAGCACGTGATACATCACTGAAAGGCAAATTTGATTTTGCCAGGCCCAAAGGTAAGCCTACTTACAGCCAATCCATCTCCTCCACTGCTTGAGCTATCTCAGGCATAACACCCATTTCTGCAAGACAAAAATAATAATAATAATAATAAGACAAAACACAAATAACAAGCAGTGTTAGTTACATCAACATAGCCCAGAATGAAGTGTTTCCACTTGGAAATTTTCAATTACAAGCAAAAATAAATATATGTATTACGTTCTTTAAGCAAATGTTTACATGTTAGTCTTCACACTGTCACACGCTAATTTTCCACGCACACAGAAAGCCAGCGCATGACAGTGTGTATATATACACACCAAAAACTTGGTTAACACATACATATGCATACAGCCAAAAATCATTCTTACATTTGCTATAGTAATAGGAATACTACTAAGAAGTGGGGGAATGTTTTATTTTCATTGTTTTCAGAAAGCTTCAGTCTTCAATTATTTACTCCTAAAGCCTCACACAAACCACATAATCAAAAAGTTTTTTCTTAGCAACAAGTTATTATTAATTGCAATTGAGAGATAAATCCCTTAAACAGTCTTTGCACTTTTAGCATACTTCCCATTTATGCTGATTAAGTTCTTTCAGTGCGTACTAACGAATAAAACAACTAGCGATGGCACAATATAAGTTTTCCTCCACTATTTAATAAAAATAAACCTGTCCACCACCCAAACTTATCTTCAGGTCTAAAGGAGCTTCAGTATTTCCCTTGATGATGATGTATGGTGATTGTCTGGGTGCGTATATAGGAAGAGGGAAACAACAGTACCAACAGTGATGTGTGCTACTTTAGGAAAAAAATCTTCTATTATGGTTTAGACAGACATTTTAATCATGATAAGGCACTGAGTTTGTTTAGCGTGGGGAAGAGGAAGCTCATGGGAGATCTTATTGCTTTCCACAACTACCTAACACAGGATGGGGTTGCTCCTAAAACGTTACGAATCACTGCAGTACACAAAACAGTTGCCATAAGCTTCCCGTTGTAGAAACGACTCACATTAAGGAGTCAGCCTTAACCTCCAAGCAGCCCCATTTACCAGGTACACGCATGCCACATACGCCCTAAAATCCAGCAAACCCACTGAGGCGAGCACACCTGCTGGCCTGCCAAAACCTGGGCAGCCAGAATAGCATCTGCGCCTCCCTAGGCCTACTGCGTAGCGACGCATGTACTACAGCGAGCCCCTACTGCCCACCGGGAACCACCTCCTCCTCTACACCCCCACAAGGCCCCGTCAGACCCAGGCCCCAGAGGGGTCTCCCAGCGCTTGGCCTCCCCCAGCCCTGCCCCGCACCACGTACCCGAGAACGCCGCCATCTTGGCACTGCCAGACTCCCCTCCCGCAGAGCGCAGGCGCAGCCCAGAGATGCCGCTTTAGGGTGCCGGGGGGCAGCAGAGAGCGCCACGCCGCACGTTCCGACCCCCGCCTGTTCGTGTGTGCATCGCGTATATAAGTCCGGGCTGCTACGCGGAGAAGGAAGAAAAAATTATTTTTTGTTGTTTTGTGGATTTTAAGTTTTTAAGGGCATACTCGGATGACCTGCTCACGGTTTTTTCACCTTCCTGAAAGATTTTTTTTTTTTTTTTGTTTCTTCTTCTCTCCCCTTCATATAAAACCTCCCCTTCACATAAAACCTCCGCTATCTTGGCCTGGTATTTAGAGCTTTACACAGATATTAAAGTCAGGAGAGCTGTTTGTTAAGTTTACAACTGTGGTAACTTACGATTTAAACTGTAAAGTGTCCCTTTACAGTAAGAATCTGCTTTACATTTACATTTGGTATTGTAATCTTAAGTGAGTTCTATTGTAATTCACGTTTGCGTAGATTTTGGTAATAAAGATACTTGGTACAAAGCATTCTGAGTTTTCTGTGTATAGAAGTATCTTTGCAGCTAGATAACACGTGTACTTTCACACAGATAACACATCAATTTTTTTTATTTTACAGATTTATACATTCTTCTACGTTTTTTACGGAAGCTTCCATGCATTCTTCACAGTCTTTTGCCAAGATAACTTCTAGCGAAGTTAAAGGCAAGAATCTCTGGATTGTTACTGTTAAAATAAAATTAGATTCCAAATTAAAAACTGCGGCTTGTACCATTACAACACAAAACAATGGTGCATTTGTCTACTACAAAACAATATGATATTTATCTACTTTGTACACGCTAAGTGGAAGGCAAATAATAAAATATTACCTACCATTTTGAATTGTGAGCATTCTTCTAAAGCAGTCCTCTGAAAAATATTTAAAGGACTAATAAATGAGGGCCCCTCTATGTAGTTCTCTTGACTACATGTGTTGCAATCTGATTACTTTTTTCATTTGGAGTTTTATTTCAGAACTTTTTTTTTTTTTTTAATGTTCACTGAGCCCTGTTTATTGCTAATTTACAATGCAGAAAATGCGTTGCAGAGAAAAACACAACAGGCATTTTATATCATCTGTATCATGACAGGTTTTCCTTTTAACAATAATTCCTTTGAGAATATCTTAGTTTGATATGCTTCCTTTCTTTCGCTATTCCCTGTATGTTGATCGTAATTTTGCCTGGTTTTGGATACATAACAAATTGAATCATTTATAAAGACAAAGATAGGAAAAAATCTACAAAAAGGTTACTAAACACCAGTTAAAACTAGAGTATGGGAGCAAAAATGGCAGCTTGTGATTTTATTTAAGCTTTAAGAAAGCTTTATGAAGTTGCAGGAAAGAGACTGAAGCCTTAGTTCTTTCACAGTAATTTATAAACATGTTCATCTTTATTTGCCTGAGATAGTGGAACTCTGTGAGTGCAAAAGAAGTTTCTGGGGCTAAAGTATTTAAGATAAGCTCTGTGTAACAGATTTCCGCGTTTATCATTAAAACCAGAGGAAATTTGTAAGAAATATATCGTTTTTGCTATTTTTTTTTATTTGCTCGTTTTTTGTTTGTTTATTTTTAATGTTCCGCGTATAATTAACCCATTTTGCCCTTGACTACATTCTTTATTTCTTCGTAGAATCATAGAATCGGTGGGGTTGGAAGGGACCTTAATGACTACTATGTTAAATCTCGCTATCAGATTTTGGACAAGCAACACCAGGGTGCAGCCCCTGGTATTTTTCCTGGGGTTCCCTCTCTCTCCCTCAGAGAGAAGCACCTCTCCAGAGCCCCCTTTGCAGCAAAGGCTGCAGCAAGCCTGCTCTGGTGAGGTTGCATCTTGAGTACTGTGTTCAGTTTTGGGCCTGTCACTACAGGAAGGACATCGAGGTGCTCAAGGGTGTCCAGAGAAGGGCTATGAAGCTGGTGAAGGGCCTGGAACACAAGTCCTGTGAGGAGCGGCTGAGGGCACTGGGGTTGTTTGGTCTTGGAGAAGAGGAGGCTCAGGGGAGACCTTATTGCTCTCAACAGCTACCTGAAAGGAAGGGGTGGGGAGCTGGGGGTCGGCCTCTTCTCACAGGTAACTAGTGATAGGACTAGAGGGAATAGCCTCAAGTTGCATCAGGTGAGGTTCAGGTTGGAAATAAGGAGACATTTCTGCTCAGAAAGTGTGGTCAGGCATTAGAACAGGTTGCCAAGGAGGTGGTGGAGTCACCGTCCCCGGGGGTGTTCAAGGAAAGGTTGGACGCGGCGCTTAGGGACATGGTTTAGTGGGTGACATTGGTGGTAGGGGGATGGTTGGACCATGTGAACGTGGAGGTCTTTTCCAACCCTAACGATTCTGTGAAAGAGCTGAACTCCGCCCGCTCCGCGGAGCCGCAGGGCTCCAGCGGTTTGGGCTCCACCAGCCACCGTCGTCGCTCGGGTGCTGGGCGGGGCGCGGGCGAACATGGCCGCCGCCGCCGCTGCCGGCGGAGAAGGGGCGCGGAGGGCGGCGGGGATGGCGGCCGGCAGCGGGGCGGAGGAGGGCGGCGGGGAGGAGGAGAACGTGCTGTACGACCTGCTGCTCAACGCCGAGTGGCCTCCCGAAACGGAGGTGCAGGTGAGGTGGCCGCCGTGCGGCTCGGGGAGAGAAACCGGCCACGTCAGCGGGTGTGAGGAGGAGGAGAAGGAGGAGGAAGGCGAGCGGGCGCAGTAACGGGGCGAGCCCCCAGCTCCTGCCCCGTGCCCTCGTCGCGCTGCCCTGCCCGGCTTTCCGTGGTGCTTCGTTCCTGCCCTCCTCTTGTCATCCCCAGAAGGAGCTGTGCTGACAGCTGTGGAAGCAGTGCGGGTGGAAGTGGGACCGTTGCTAAGGTCGCCTGGCACGAGGCAAATCGGTTCCTGTCCGGATTTGCAGGACCGAAGGGTTACGTCTGGGTTTTCAGTGATAAGTGAAGAGGAAGGTTTGCATCACTTTGTGTCTGCAAGGCACGCAAATAAACGTCAAAGATTGAAAAATGGAAAACCATTACTTTATAAGTTTTAGTGGTTTGTTTCTTATTTTTCCTCCATGGATCAGCGGAAAAGCTGAGATGTCCATTCATTTTCGCTGTTCAACTGCTCCTTCTCCTCTGCAAGACATGGAGGAGACACTCCAATGTCAAATTAATAAGTTGACATAGGGGCAGGGATCTCTCTGACTAGTTGTCTCAGTGGGCAAAACAGACTTGCCTTGGGTAAAACTAGATTAATTCATTCACAGTTGATAACGGAGTAGGATGGAGAGAACTAAAAGCATTGTACTTCCACCCTCCTTCTCCCCAGGGTGAGCTTCAGTCTTAGCTCTTCTCGTTCTTTCCTCTGTCCCATGCAGGGCAGGGGAATGGGGCCTGCAGTCAGTTTGTAATGCTTTGTCTGCAGCTCTGCTGCTCCTTGCTTCTCACACCCTTCCCCAGTGCAATGTGGCATTCATCCCATGGGATGCAGTCCTTCATGAACTGCTCCAGCATGCCTCCTTTCCATAGGGTGCAGTCCTTCAGGATCAAACTGTTCTGGTGTGGCTCCTTTCCACAGGCAGCAGTTCCTGCCAGGAGCCTGCGTGGGCTCTCCATGGGCCACAGCCTCCTCCAGGCCACATCTACCCACTCCACCGGGGGCTCTCCATGGGCTGCAGCATGGAGATCTGCTCCATGTGGGACCCATGGGCTGCAGGGGCACAGCCTGCTCCACCAGGGGCCTCTCCACAGGCCACAGTGGAGCTGCTGCTGTGTGCCTGGAGCACCTCTTGCCCTCCTTCTGCACTGACCTTGGGGTTTGCAGGGCTGCTTCTCTCACTCTTTGTCATTTGTCATTCTCTCAGCTTCAGTTGCACAGCATTTTATTATTATTATTATTTATTTTTTTTTTCACCTTTCTTCAGTCTGCTTTCCGAGAGGCCCAACCAGCATTGCTCACTGGCTTGACTCTGGCCAACAGCAGGTTCCTTTTGTAGCTGGCTGCAGCTGGCTCTGATCTGACGTGGGGCAGCTGCTGGGCTTTGCTCACTGAGGTCACCCCTGCAGCCTCCGCCATCACCAAAACCTTGCCATGTAAATCCAATATAAACTTGCTGAGCTAGATTGTATCTAACTCAACTGTTGTCTGATTTGGACATAGAAGTTGCAAGCAATGTGTTTTTTCATTTTCTTGTATTAGACTTTCAAGTCCAGTGCAGATGTTAATGCATTTACCACAAAAAATATATTATCAAAGTATTTTAACAAGGTCTTATGTTTAATGGGAACCTCTGAACAGAGGAGATATAAAAACATTGCAGGTATTGACTGTATTTGTTCATAGCAAGTTACAATCTTCCACATACATACTTATATGAGGGAACAAACGTTTTTTTGTGATGTTATGGTCTTATGGAGTAACACGTCATTTTTTAGGTGCTTGTGACTTGTACTTCATAACATTTGTTTCTTTAATCATGGTTTATTCATGTCGCTCAAAAAAAAGTCACAAAAGGATCTCTGCTGTATTTCTTGTAAACTGGTTAGGAATGAGTGAAGGAAAGTAGAAAGGGAAAGGAAGTTGAAAGCTGCATTGGGAAATCAAATTAGATTTATTTCTACGCAGTCATCTGGGATCCAAAGCAAGGCCTTAAACCAAACTTTTCTCTATTGATTTTGCTTTATTTTTCTGTTACCTCCTTTGGGGTAATTCATTTTTGATTGCGGAAATTCTGAGCTCTTCTAACTGTAATTACACCCACTGGAAGATTGATCCTGTGATGAAAGTGTAAAGTTCTGTTCAATACAGCAATAGATCTTGCATGGATTTTTTTTTTTTTGTAAGTTGGAACCCCAAATTAGTTTTAATTTTAGTTCTTGTTGGTATTCTCATTTATCTGCATTGCATTTCCTGATAAGTTTTCTGGGGGAAATTAACAGACATTTGTAAAGAATGAGTGCAAGAAACTGACAATGCCCACAAAGAGACTGATATGGAAATTGAGCAACCTGTAATCAGTGCGATGATATGATTGTGTATAACTTGTTTCCTGGGAATCCAGCAATACCTAACAAGAATGAAAGGAATTATTGAGTAATTCATCACTGAAAACTGAATGAGACAGTGGTTCTGTGGGGGAGTTTGCAGCAGAGGACTCAAAGAATCATTTGAACCATAGAAGTACAGGTAGATGACTTTTTTACAGTAAACATGTTCTGTCTGTCTTCTTGGCTATATCACTTGATTTGGTGTTTTGGTGACAATGAGGGAAAAAAAAATGTTTTGGCATTCTTTAAAATTCTTAATTTTTTTTCCTTAAACTCAGCATGCTTACAACAAAATCTGAACCGAAGTAGATACCTTGTCCATAAGGAAGCTACTTGGATTTTATTTCGGAATTCTCTAGGAAAGGCAAACTTGTTCTTCCAGGCAGGAATTAATTAAAAAATAAATACATTTGACAGGGGAATACATTTACAGATCTGGTAGCCGTTATTGTATCTGGGGTGATAGGACTTACTGCAAAATGTAAAATTCCAGTCTTCAGAGTGTAAGAGCAAATCAGCTTTGTGAAGGGTTAAGGTGTGTGGAGTAATAATGCAGTTTAGTCTCAGGAGTGAGCACTAAGAATACTCAGGAGGAAAAAAATCTGGAGAGTATAGTAATATACATGTGTATATATAGCAATATCACAGCATCACAGAATTTCTACGTTGGAAGAGACCTCAAGATCGAGTCCAACCTCTGACCTAACACTAACAAGTCCTCCACTAAACCATATCCCTAAGCTCTACGTCTAAACCTCTAGGAATGGTGACACCACCACTTCCCTGGGCAGCCCGTTCCAATGTCTAGCAACCCTTTCGGTAAAGAAGTTCTTCCTAACATCCAACCTAAAACTCCCTTGGCGCAACTTAAGCCCATTCCCCCTCGTCCTGTCACCAGGCACATGGGAGAACAGGCCAACCCCCACCTCACTACAGCCTCCTTTGAGGTATCTGTAGAGAGCAATAAGGTCGCCCCTGAGTCTCCTCTTCCCCAGGCTGAACAAACCCAGCTCCCTCAGCCGATCCTCGTAGGACTTGTTCTCCAGAACCCTCACCAGCTTCGTCGCCCTTCTCTGGACTTGCTCGAGCACCTCGATGTCCTTGTTGTAGCGAGGGGCCCAAAACTGAACACAGTACTCGAGGTGCGGCCTCACCAGAGCCGAGTACAGGGGGACGATCACCTCCCTAGCCCTGCTGGTCATAGTGTTTCTGATACAAGCCAGGATGCCGTTGGCCTTCTTGGCCACCTGAGCACACTGCTGGCTCATATTCAGCCGACTATCAACCAATACTCCCAGGTCCTTCTCTGCCTGGCAGCTCTCCAACCACTCATCTCCCAGCCTGTAGCTCTGCTTGGGGTTGTTGCGTCCCAGGTGCAGGACCCGGCACTTGGCCTTGTTGAACTTCGTACAGTTAATTATACAATATGTATAAGCAATATTTGGAAATGTTTTTCAAAAAAGCTTAATCAAAAAACCTTATCAGGCCCTGTTTTTTAAATTCCTTAGGAACAATTGCAATACCCCAAGGTACTATGATAGCTGTGACAAATAATTTGTAGTCTCACTTCTTTTACTTTAATGTATTGTTATTTACTGTTTGATCAACCTGAATTTTGGACAGTATCTATTAGTACATGTGTGTTGACTTCTCATATGCTGTGAGAAAGTGGCCTGATTATTTCAAACACTGTTTCTGGATTGCAAACTTTGCATAGAAAACTGCTAATATTTACTTCAGTATTTTAAATTCTGAAGCCCAAATATATTTTTATAATTATAAATTTATTTTTATATTTTTAAACATGCAAACACTGCTGAATTTTCATGTTAGTATGTCCTTCAGTGCTTGCTGCCCTATAACTTGGAATAAGAGGTCTGAGTATCTTAGCTAATGATATGCTCTATGCATTATATATTGAAGGGAAGAGGTAATTCATTCATTATCTACTTTAGTGCTCAGTTTGTGATGCTCTAATATTTTGAGTAGGAAAGTTTATTTTGTGCGTGATGTCTTCCTTATTTATTATCTTCTTTGTGTAATCTATTTCCCTAGCTTCTTGCTGGCTTCTAAAAACTTTGCCTGTTTTATAGCTAGGAATATACATACTATGTTTTGTGTTTAATTTTTCTGTGTTTGAAGAGAGCTTTTATTTATGCAGTAGTTTGGTCCTCCCACATATGAAAGTAGAGCAAGAGTGCTGGAAAGGCGGTACAAGGCTGTAGAGTAGATGCAGTGAATTGGATGGCTGTGGTAACCAGTACAAATTGGCATAAGTTTTACTTCAGTGGTCTCTTTTTTTAAAAAATATGTTTTTCTGGAACTTTCATAAGCAGTCTTTATGTAGCTTAGCAGTTATATATTGGGATAGTATGTTGAACACCAATTGCTTTGACCTTTTTCTGGGGATTACAGTTCAATCTGGCATTTATTTGGCATAGAAAGAATGATTTGTAATACCTTACAGGAGGCAATGTCTTCTCTCTTTTTTTTTTTTTTTTTTTTTTTTTTACTACCCGTAGACGAAAGCAAAGTTGAATCGATAGATAATTTGTAGTAAATTTTGTTTATTACAGGTCGGCACTTGCTGAATTTACTTGGTTCTATAGCCTGCTTTAGCTTATGTGGCTAAATAACTCAATAAAGTAGCGAGTAATTGAAAATATGTAAGGAACTTCTGGCTAGCAAGCAGCTTACATTCAGTCAGTGAACGCTGATTGGATACAGTATGGATGCTATACTTAAGCTAAAATGTGTATCATAGTGTTTGACCGTTATTGTTGTAATTGCAGCCAAGAGGCAACAGAAAACATGGTGCATCGTTTATCATCACTAGAGCAATTACAGGTAAGTATGACTTGTTTTTATGCTCAGGACTCATAAGAATCATGTGTAGATTGTTTGTAAAATTTACAGTTTCTGCTCTTTAGGGTGGCTAGTGTAATGGAAATAGAGCAGAAGATGTGTTTTTTGGAAAGAAGCTTTCTGATTATCCCTATTACTGTGTTATTTGTATTTCATTTTTGTGGGCTCTCTTGCCTCTTTTAGGTTATTGGGACAAAATAATAAAACATCTAAAAAGTTTGGAAGTCCTGTTGTATTTTGAAAAATATGTTTTTCTGTGTATCAGTTCTTACAATTGGGCTATTTGCTATTTCGACAATTCTCTGAGGAAGCTTTATGATATTATGATCGTTGCCAATTCAGCTCTTGGTTTATGCATTAACTGAGTTGTGCTTTCCTTAGGCATTTCTCTTAGAAAAAATCAATACTCATCTCTGTTTTTTTTTTTTTAGATTTGACATTTGCATTTACTTTAATATAAGGATTCATTGACCAAGTGTAGAGGCTTTTTCCTTGTGCAACATTTTGTTTCGTGAGAACTTCTAAAATTCTATGTAAAGCTGAATTCTATGTATAGCTGAAGAGTGTTTTAAAACAGCTAGAGATTTAATTTTTGCTTGCTTATTAATTTTTGTAGGTCCTGCATTGTTTCTGCTTCGATATATCTGGTACAGGTAGGTTTGAAAATAATGTTTAATCTTTTTATTTGGTAATATTTTGATACCTTTTTTGATATAAAGTTATTGTTAATGACAGTAAAACTGAACACTGCTTAGAACACTGTTTTTTCATCAACTGAGGCTGAAACTACTTGAGTTACAGCTGAAGCCTATCTAGAAAAAAGAAGTAGTGTATGCTAGTTTAACTTTTTGGTTTTATAAGAAGACTAAGTAAACTAGCAGTTGGAACATCCTATTTCTCAAAACATTTGTTTTTCCTCTCCACTCCCAGTTGAGATACTGCAAGTGAAGCTGTTTTCTTTTAAGCCTCAACGACAGGTATGATGGCATGGCAGGGTTTGCTTCTATTGAGGTTATAATTTGTACTATTATTATTTTTTTAACAATTCAAGCTGTTGTATAAAATGCTGTGTAAGTAATTGTGATTCAGAAAAATGATCCCTGAAACATACTGGATAAATACAGTGTTCCTGGAGAATTTCATCTCTATGATTATACCACTCTGTTGATGCCCTGTGCATGTTTGAAGATATCAGTTCTCCCTTTTTAGAGGTATTCTGTTATTTTTAGGGTATGAAAATGGACTATGGTGTTGCTCACTGTGAAACAGTACTCTAGTTTAGGCCAGCAGTCATTGCTGTTTTCCCTATTTTTGGTGTTCTACTTTATTTTGTGCCTCGTTTGTGTGTGTTTATGGGTTCCATGCCATCATACAAGCCTGGTTTTAAGGATTCAGTTGCAAACAGAATGAACTTACTTAATTTTCTATATACTGGTAGTCATACTGATGGTCTGTTTTCTAGCATTTAAAATTGATTCTAGCTGCCATTTTCATATATTTGTAAAATACGGTCAGGAAGAAAGGAGAAAAAAAACAAACACAGATGAATATCAAACTCAGACCAGGTTCCTTAGGGTCCAGCTAGGTATTAAAAATGTTTAAGGATGGAGATCCCAGAGCTTTTGGACAACTTCTTCCAGGGCACAACTGTATTTATGGTGAAGAATCCTTTTCCTTATGTCAGCTTGGAATCTCCTCTGTTTTAAACTCATCATCATTTCTTGTGCTCCTGCCATGCACCTCAGTGGCTCTCCATGGAACCTTGTAGGTTCCAGAGGGCTTTGGTTAGCTTTGTCTGAAGCCTTCATTTCTCCAGGCTACACTTCCCTCACCCTGTCCTTGTAGGGCGAGTGCTCCAGTCCCTGGACCGTCTTGGTAGCACACTGGTTTATTGGTGTCCTTGCGGTAGGGTACCCCAAACTGACTGCTGACCAGAATTTGAAGAATGATGAGTAAATAATCAGTTCCTTTAAAATGTGGCTATGATTCTGTTAATTCAAATGAAGATGTTTTTAACCTTTGCTATTAGCAGGGTGCGTTACTGATTCACATTTAGTTGCTAAAACTTCCCAGGTGATTGGCTGTCTTAAAGCTAAGTCACCTGGCGTGTATATCTCAGGTACTGCTAGGTGTATGTTCTGATTTGGGCTAATATATATATATTTTTTTTTCAGCCCTGCAAAGTTTTCTCTGCCAAATGGACTTGTTCGTCTAGTTAATAAGCAGATAAACTGGCAGCTAGTACTTGCAAGGTAACCAGCTTACGTATTTATATGCTTTCAGTATTTGGTAATAGCGAATGTATTAATACTCTCTGCCCTGCCCACACTGATAGCAATGTTGAATTAATAATGTGCTAAAGTAATGTTACTCTTCTTGGTCAAGAGAACTACAGGAGGCATTCAGAGGTAGCTTTGGGAAAGAAAGGTCAGTCTTCAGGTGCTACCACAGCATTTCCCTTTTAAGGCATCTTTCATGCATGTCTGTATGTACTTTTAGCATTTTAGCAAAAGTAACTTGCAGTGTAATCCTTCTGCTGGGATTGTATTCAGAACTTGAGTTTGATCAGCTAATGACCTGTAACTTACAGGATATGTAGTATAAATTGTTTATTTTAAAATCTGTGGAAAGTGACGTATACCCTCAAGCTGTCTGCTCTTGTTTCTTGAGGGAAGAAATGAGAATTCCAAGGCTAGAGACAGCTGTTCCAAAGTAATTTTAGCAGCATCATTGAAATCACTGGCCTTCAAAAGTAAGCATAAACATGTACAGAAACAATAAACTAAAATATTCCATACTACTTTCATATCACTAAATATGATCAGTGGCTTATCAAGAGTTCTGTAAAGAAAGAGATGGTGATTCTGTGAGGGAAGTGGTGATCCTTTTGATGTGTGACATGCCAGCTGCAATGTTGTATGTTAAGTACAAAGATGGGAGGCCTGCTGCTAAGGAGATGACCTGACTTACTGAAGTATGATGGCTGTGTATTCCAGATAAAGTGATACATAGTCTTGCTGTGGTATAAACCTATCCATAAACAACATCTGATTTTGACTTCCCCAGCAGTACGATTTTTAGACACTGCTTCTGTTTTCTTAGTGCTGCTGTTAAAGAATGTGACAGATATGTTTTGGTGACATGAGGGGACTTCTATTAAAACACTTTTTTTGTATAAAAATTGATATTTTATCTTTCATAACAAATTGGGACATTTATATTTAACCATGCAGAAAAGTGCATGGAGCTCTGATCCATATTCTGAAAGGACTGGATGAAGAACTGAATGCCTTTGTTTTCCTTTTTCAGCAATGGTAAACTGTTGGCAGTTGTGCAAGACCAATGTATAGAAATCAGGTAACTTATGATTATGTGTTGGTTCATAACCACAGTTGTAGAGTTATGAGAGAGTGTTTTTAGTGACTTGTTAACCATAGTTTTAAATGTTTTTTTATTTGAAAATGCTAGATATATTCTGAAATTAATCTATGGGATAATCTTAAAATGTGTTCACTTAGAAAGCAAAAACCTTCTATTTCTTCTTAGGTCTTTCCCACTCACCATTTTAAAAACAACTCATACCCAAACAACAATTATAAATGCTATGGATAAATGTATATAAATACTTAGCTATATTTCCCTCCATGTTGGATATGTTTATGCGTGTGTTTTTTTTCCATTTTTTTAAGATGTGAAAGAAAAGCAAGGTCGTTCAAACTACTAAACTCCAATTCATGGTCTTTCTAACCTTTGCCTTTCCATTCCCCCTTAAAGTGAGAAGAAGTGAGAGAAGGAGCTAGTATTACACTTCTCTGTAGAATAGCTGGCATGTATAGTACTTCACCTTATTTTACAAGTGATATGAATTGCCATAAAGACTTGCATTTTCCTTTTTCCTTTTGTTCTCTAACAACAAGCTTTCCTTTGCCAGTTCAAGAACACATTTAGCAGTAGAACAGATCTTGATTGAGTATGTTTACTTGCTTCACAAAAATCCATTTGCTAGAAGGTCAGACCTTCCATTTATATGTAAAAGAAGCAAGTGTATGAAAATTGTTCAATCACAAGTGATGCGAACACCATAAATGTCAGCTTATAAACTATAGAATAAATCTTGTGTTTCAACTGTATTAATGTAACTATATTCTTACATTGTTTCTAAATTGTAACTTAGAGAATACTGACTAGTTTAAGGAAAAAAAAAAACTTACACAGCATTTCAGAACTTCAGCATGAATTTTGAACAACATTACTGCTAAATAGGGAATATTATTTTTTATGGTTTATATGGAGGGTTTCTAAAATACTGTTGTTACCGAGACGAGCTGCCTAAGGGTGAAGGCTGATATCTGTCTTTTTGAACAAGTAGTCAAATACATTCAGGCTTTTGGATTGTGCGCTTAAAGTATTTTTATAGCTCTTAGTTTATTCTGGAAAATTGAATAAGTGAATGTGTGTCTGTAGTCTAAATCCATGTATCTTACTCTGCAGGTCTGCAAAAGATGACTTTGGATCCATAGTTGGAAAATGCCAAGGTAATGTGGCAACCTTTATACAGTTTATGCAGTTGATGTGGTTGTTGTTATTTATTCATGTGTTGCTAAGTGCTGGTACTGGTTTATTAACTTCTTAAAAGTATTGTGAGTAGTCTCTTAATATTTTTGCTATGTGATTAGCTCCATTTTTCCCCCCACTGATTCTTTTCACATTGATTAACATACGGAACCTGAAATGAAGTGATAGTGAAATGAATGGATTTTGAAGGCATAGTGGATGTTGGAGTCTTTTTTTTTCATGTTCATTTTTGTTTTCTTTTTAGAAGGTAATTTTATAACGATGACAGGAATTATGCAATTGTTGATGCAGATGTCTTTTTTATAATTTTGTTTAAGGGATTATAGTTCTCTTTTTCTCCTTATCTCTACCTCTTGACGTGGCAAATACTATTTTCAAAAGTAAGTAGATGAATGATAGTCTGTTGGGCAGTGACCATCTGTAGAAGTAGAGGTTCCAAACCATGAAAGTTACTCTGTACAAATCAGTTTAAAGCTCACTTAAATTCTTATGTGCTGTTTTTTAAACACTGTATGAGTTAGAGGTCATCAGATGGTCCAACATTTGTTGTGACTCAGACTGTGGCCACTGACGGGTGAAAGACACTTTTTTTCTAAAGAATGTTTTCCTTTTCTGTAGTGCCAAAAGATTTTAACCCGCAGTGGAGACGAGTGGCGTGGAGCCATGACTGTACGTTACTTGCTTATGCTGAGAGCACTGGAACTGTGAGAGTTTTTGACCTAATGGGTAGTGAGCTTTTGGTCATTTCACCGGTAAGTGCTGTCTTCGATTCAATTTGTACAAATATTCTTTTTTTGTAAGGATAAAGGGTAATTACGTATTTTTTTTTAATCATGGCAAACTTTGGTATTAAGGCTTACAATATGAATACCATGCATGGATATGCTATCAAGGGTTTATCATACGATGGTTATATTAAAGTTAACTAAGTTCAAGTCATTTGTACCATATGCAAGCATATCCTTTGTGCTGTTATATTTAGTCAGTGTCTTCATCTTGTCTTGGTCAGAATTGTGGTAGATGAGCAGGTACATCAGAATGTCGAAGTATAGAATCTTCTACTTGGTATGTGTGCAAATGGTTATTGTTTGTAGTAGTAGATTAAAAATCTGCAGTTCATGGGCAGATTTTGTTATAAATCAAGGAAATACTGCTAACTGAGCAATATGAGATTTTTTTCATTGGTAGGTATGAGAACATGCTGTGCCAGGCAAACTGCAATTGCATGTTCTGTTTTCTGTATACAAAGGTTGTATTAAGCTAATTTGTGAGGGGTTTCAAGTCTATTTCCTTAGCATATTGTCTTTGTGGACTTTTAATAGGTTTTCTTTAAGATCAAGATCAAAGGAGTATATTTTGTTACTATTATAAACTATGAAACTTCAGTTTTTAAAAACATTTTCATAAAAATAATAAATGGAATTTCTTAAAAGAAATCAAGGTATTCTTTTTTTTTCTTTTCTTTTTTTCCCTGCCTTTCTCTCTCAATGTCTGCATTCTTGAGTAAAGACAGCAAGTTTCCCGGGAGATCTGAGTTATGCTGTTGCTGGATTAATCTTTCTAGAATACAAAGCAAGTGCCCAGTGGTCAGCTGAATTACTTGTTGTTAATTATCGTGGAGAGCTGAGAAGTTATCTTGTAAGGTAAGCACAAGTTTTTGTCTTACTTTGAGAAACTAACATGAACTTTAAAGGAAATCTTTTCCACTCTTTAAAGAAAATAAATCTAATTTATTTATTTTTTTATACCCATACTTAGTGTTGGAACAAATCAAAGCTTCCAAGAAAGTCACAGTTTCAGCTTTAGTAGCCATTATGCACATGGAATAACTACTGTCATTTACCATCCTGGTCACAGGTGAGTGTTTTGTTTACTACCTGCCAATAATATTGAAATGATGAACAGAAGTGGTAAAATAAACCATAAAGTGTGTTGAATATGTTTAAAAAGGAGGGGAGGATGTACTTATTTTAATCTTGGTATTTAATAAATTAGCAAAAACAAGTCACATGTGGCTATATCTGTGAAAGAAGGCCTAGTTGGTGGTGTCGCTTTACTAATAATGAGTAAAGATACTGAGGGAAATTCAGCTTCTTGAATGAGACAATTGGTACACTCAAACACTAGAACAAATAACAGCTAGCACACTTGTGAACTCCAGAAGAGTTCCTTATGGACATGTATATCCTGTGAATAGGGTATCATGTCTTTAGTATTAAAAAGTCTTCACTAGGATTAAGGTCTAAGTAGATTTTATTGCCTCTAGAAATGAAATTAAAAGAAAGCTTTTCTTTTTGCATAACTTATTAGAGTTGCTGTTTTTCTTAAGTTGGATTATTATTATTTTTTTTTGCCTCAAGCTATGGTACTTGTTGGCTATTTGACTAATTTTTCTTTAAGAGTTCTTTAAGTTTCTTTAAGTTCTTTAAGAGAAGTGTTTTTATTTTTCTTGTACTATCAAGTGCATTAACTTGAGATGACTAACTTTCCTTTGTAACAAACACAGGACTTGATCTTAATTTATTTGAAATAAACATTTATTTTCTGTTTATATGCAGTTAATACTGATACAGATGAGAGGGAGATGTGATGGTCACGGGCATTTAGTCATGTGGTATACCTTAATTTCAGTAAAAATTTTTTTTTTTTTGGAAGGTATATTCTTAGCAAGTGTGCTGGAGAGTACCTTAAGCAGTCTTTCAGAAAGGCTTGTTCTGTGCTTCTTCAGTGAAACTGTAGGTATAGAGAAAACAAATGGGAACACGTCAGAGGTATTTGTCTTGGCAGCCTGGGTCAGTTTATCTGTATATTTTTGATTCTTCAATAACACGTGATTTTTATTTTTCAAATGCAACTCTTACCTTTAAGTGCTGTATTTGATAAATACAGAAAATTGTTTGCTTGTTGCATCATTTACTGTCTGAGTATGTTGCATTAGCAGCTTTTTTAGAATGTCAGAAATAGCTTCAAAAGACGTTTCTGAATTTTATGTGTTTAAGGGCTGATTGTAGTTTGCTGCTTTTTTTCTTCTCTCTGGATTTGATTTGTGGACTTGTCTGGTTCACTTTTCCCTACTGTTCTGACTGGAACTGCCAGGGTTTCGTATTTGGAGTTGTCTTGTGTTGCTTTTTCCTTAAGTAGTAACATGTTGGGCACAGATACCAGATTTGAAAGGTGGACTGATTGGCTACATGGTCTTGCAGCAGATGTGGTTGGAATAGGTCCCGGTTAGCCAATTCCTTCTGTTGAAAATGTATCTGCCATTTTTGTATCTACTGATTATATGGCAAGATAAACTTGGCAACTTACTCTTTGATTTCTTTTAAATTGTGAGAACTCCCTTTCTAGATATAGCTACTAGGATTAAATTTGTCAGCACACTTCACTACATTGATTTAAACTAAAATTCAGTTTGGATCTAGAATACTAGAAGAAACTCTCTGTTAGAAACTTGTTCTCATCCTTCAATATTAAGTGAGATAGCTATCTTAAGGAAAAACTGGTTGTTGATGAGAACTAATGTTCTCCTAACTTATACTGAAAATTAAACTCTCAAAGTAATGGTTTCCTCTTTCTAACTGCTTAATATTTAATTAGTATTCCCCTATTACTATTACAATTAGTAATTTAGTAACTCAGTATACTAAATCTACAGTTTTGAAATAGGAAGTCTGGATGACAGAGCTTTGATAACACTCTGACCAGGCAGCAGAAACAATTAATTCTTTCCTTTGATCACACCAGGGTTCTTGAAACTTGCTTCCAAATCTGTCTTTTCTGTTCCTAGTATTAGGAAGGAAGTAGATTGATTCTAACAGTGCAGTTGCAAAGAATAGTTGTTAATATTCAAACTAGGGTCAAATAATTATTCTGATTGTTTTTGTATGTGGATGTGCTTGCATTTGATTTTGTGTGTGTCTGGGCAAATGATATTAGAACAGTTAAACTGTTAAAATAGATGAACCCATCAACAAGTAAATAGCTGAAATAGAAAATCAGCTGAGGTAGTCTGGACGTTGCTTTGTGTGTGCTAATGACAACTTCTTGCCAGAAAAGTACGTGTATATAGTAGGGAGGAAAAAAAAGACTTGAAGTTTTGTGTTAGTTCTTTCATTTCCCCTCCAACTAATACTTTTTGTTTTCCCACTATTCCTTTATGATTGCAGGTTTACATTTTAAAATCTTATTAGTATGAAGTAAGAGCATCATTGTCTCCTGTTCTTTTGTGCTTGTAACAGTTTATTCGGAATATTAGTAATTAAAATTAATTTATGGAAGCTTATGGTCAACGTATTCTTTTGCCAATATTCTAAATTTTCTATCATGGGAAATGCCCCTTCCTGATGTGAAAATATGTGGTCATATCTGCTGCTAAAGCAATAAGTTTCTGTAATGTATGTGTACTGCACACTCAGCAATTACTTGTTTTTAGCAGGAAATACTATGACCCATAAAAATAAAAATCACATAGAGTCCTCTGTGATTGTATTATCTCCCGGTAGGTGTAATTAGTTGACTTGCTTAATAAAGTTGAAAATTGATACTTTAAAGAACTGACATTAGAAACCTGTACATTCATGAGCAGAATCACTTGTTGAAATTAAGCTGTTGTTTTGTCTGAAAAACAGGAGTTGGAGGGAGGCAGTTGTCTTAAATTGTGTGTTGAAGAAAATTTTAGATACATATGAATCCTTCGACGTTTCCATTTTCAGTAGCGTGAACTTGATTATTTAAGTTCAAATGTGGCTTTTTTTTTTGCATTTCATTTAGTTTCAGATCTGTAAAACTGCACTATATAGCTTGTAGGCCTTGACTTACCACTCTATTGCTATGTATTTGCCAGTTACCTACTAAACCGCAATAAAATAGCAATCAAGAACTTAATGTATCTAACTTGTTTTAAAAAAAAGATGTAAGCATATGATAATTGCAAAGAAAATCTTTCAGTAGGGAATGTATCTGAATCTGTAGGAAAACATGAAATGGTAGCTTTGGGGAAAAAGTATAATCTTGAGTTTTACTGCTGTTGGAAAAAAATCTTAATTTAGAAGCTCAAGTGCTTGTGTTTCCATGCATTCCAGCTTTCATCTGTGATGGAATTTATCAACTTCAGTTGATAAAACTTAAATGTTTGCTTCAGTGTGAGCTCTCTGTAGGCTCTAATGGAAGTTTCAACACCTCACTTATTTTGTGTACTTTAATCTGGAGCTGACTGCCTTATTTCAGGGTTATCTGCAGTTGCTTCAGAAGGAGTCTGATGTTAGAGCCTAAAATGTGTGATGGCTTTGGGAGATGAACGTTTTAGATTCACTTGAAATCTTGCTTGTTATCGTACCAGAATTGATGTGTGAAAAATTGTGTAGAAGTCTCAAGGTTTATTTTTGGATACCTTAATTGAGCTTGCTGTCCTTGAGACCAGTAGTATACTAATTATCTTTAGCCCAACTTTATAGAACCCTTGAAAACAGAATATAATTGAGATACTGCAGGGGCAACCAGCTTTTTGAGACTGAAAGGAACCTCTAGAAATCATCTAGCCCATTGCCCTTCCAGCAGGGTCAACCAGAGCAGTTTGCTTGGAGCCATGCTTCCCACACTACTTCTCCTCAAGATATCTATACATATTCATAGGATCTACCCTCAGACCTCTCTTCATCAGGCTGAGCAGTCCTAGCTTTCTGTCTTTCCTAGTATGGCGGTGCTCCAAGACCTTCATCTTCATGGCCCTTTGCTGGATTTGCTCCACCATTATGTTTCAGTCTCCTATACAGGAGGGCCCAGAGCTGGATGCAGCAATCCAGATGATTCACCTGTGCTGAGAAGACTGTAAGGATGCCATCCAGTTCATACTGGTGTGTATGTGGTTATTACTTCCCTTCTGTGCTTTCCGTTGTTGAACTTTGTGAGGTTCCTACTGGTCCATCTCTCCAGCGTGTTGTGGTCCCTCTGAATGACAACACAATATTCCATTTCATCAATCCCTTACTCAGTTTTGTATCATCTGCAAACTTTGCCTCAAGGTTCATCTCATTAATGAAGCTGTTAAATGGTATTGGCCCCAGTATGAACCTCTGGGGTACACCAGTAGTGACTGGCCTCCAGCTGGGCTTGGAGCTGTGAGGTACTCCCAGTCCCTCATCTGCTGCAAGGTTGCTGAACCTAATCTGCAGCTGCAGATCTACAGGTGAGGCAGGATCCTCTGTTGGTGCCAGAAGTTGCTAGCTTTCCAGCCTCTTCTGTTAGGGGAAGTCTCCGTTTCCCAGTCTGATAAACACAGGGTATGCCTCCCCCCACTTAAGTACGTCTGGGAGTTGGGGATACTCCTGTATCCTCAAAGCAGAGTCTCAGAGGATCCAGCCAGTCGTCTTTTCTGGTCATCTCTGATGCTGTAGCAGCCTGCTGCCTTCTTTCTGCAGCACCTTTTGCCTTCTGAGACAGACCATCACCAAGCACAGACCTTCTGAGGCAAGGATCACCTGCTGTCCATGCCCCAACCTCTGGAAGAGGCCTCTGTCTGAGACCTACAGGCCTGTCTGCATCGCCCTGAGGGAGCATGGTCTGAGGCAAGGTGGGTGCTGGGACTGTGCCCTGGGCTTCATCACCACAGTTGCTGAAAACATGTACAAGGAGTTTCTGGCCCCTCTTTTCCACAAACTGCTGCACAAGTCACTGCAGCATCTGTTGGCTGTTTGCTAGTTGTGGTGCATACACAGGCCTTTTTCTAGCACTTACTGAAAAGGTTCCTGACCCTCCCTAGTCAGGAGACAGCTGGAACAAAAGTTCAAAGCACTCTTTGATCAGGAGCAGATGTTAGAACTTGTTGAAAGCTGCTAGAGTTTGCTAAAAGTGAGGCCCCTTATGGTGCCTGACATCACTGGAAAGAGCCACTTATGAAGTTCTTTAAAGATTTCCCAGGAGTTGTCTGGTGATCCCATAAGTACGTAGAAGATTGGGGGGGGGTGTCTAGAAATGGAGCACAGAAACTGCTGCACGCTTGCTATGCTGTATGCAGAAAGCATCTGCAAGAATAAAAATTAACACAGATCTTACAGTATTAAGTACTAAAGGATTTTGCATTGATCCTTATGTCAATATCAGCATGGTAGATAAAACTTCCCCTTCCAGAGAGTTACTAGTAAGTGTCATTTATTAAATTAACATTACTTTGTGGCCCATATGGAGTCACATAAACCTACAGCTGGTATTGCGTGATTTAAGAACACAAATATTTGTCTAGGAAAAAATATCTTCTTATTTTGGGGAGGGTGGATGTTGGGGGAATTGTTGGCACAGTATTTTCTTCAGACTGAGACTAACTTTAAAAAACAAAACAAAACAAACAAAAAAATTCCTCTTGTTGCTATTCCCAGGCTACCTGTCAACTTGCGTTATTTTGGAGTCATCTCCTGTCTAGTGCTGAAAAAATAATTGGTAAACAAGGCTGGATCTTTGCTGAGGCTCTCAGGAGTACCTTTCATTTTCTTTTGATACCAGTTGTGTTATTCATCATAATAGTTTCTGCCCCCGCTGTTGCATTTTGCTCTCTGAAAAGCTTTTTAAAATTTTAAGTACGTGCTGCCATGATGAATTTCTCTGCAGTCCTGGGAGAAGGCTTTTTGTCTTGAGGCTTTGTGTTTTGTGTATGTCTAAACTGATATGACATCTTCATTCCAGCTGTCATTGAGTTTCATTTATCCTAAAAGATACTTCTGAATTATAAATATGTTGCACTGTATATGACAGTTTTTTCCAAAATTTCTTTGAAAAGATTTATCTTGATGGAGTTTTTGAGAGCTAGTTCAGGCAGTTTTGGCGTTACTGTTGTCACTGCTATTGACAACTCTTCTCTTGGTCTTTGTGCTACTGTTTGTCTCTGAGTCAACTCTAGCACAGTGCCGTCAATTGTAATTGAATTTTAGTCACTACTGCTGTTGAAATTTTTAACATGTTACAATGGAAGTTGGAACTTACAGAAGAATGTAAATGCCTATGGATGGACAAGACTACAGAAAAATTAATCTTCCAGAGGATTATGCCTGCTGTCTTTTGGTTATTAGGTGTTGACAACTGTGCTGTGGTGATCTCATGAAGTTTGTGTTTACTGATTGATTTTTTTTTTTATAAATTCATAATAGTCAAGTTGTGAAAGAGAGAGAGATGAAAATTGCTTGCAGTGATTTTTTTATCACTTCATGCATAATTATCTGTGTAACACTGATTTTTGCCAGTATCTTTCAGAGCTGTCAGATGTAATTTTGTGTTTACTGATGCTAGACTGTGTGCTCAGATGTGAATATCCAGATATGCTTATTCATGGTCATCTAGAATGGCCATGGCATCATGCACAATAGGGTAGATCGAGTCTCTCCTCCTAAAACTTAAAGCTGTTAGGAGGAGTTCGATGTGGTGTGCCATGTCTCAGCGTCTTAGTCAAAAGATTTATTTATTTATATAGATTTTGTATTTATGTGCTGTAAGGTATTTGGAAACTTCTTTCTTCCTTACTTTTTAACCGCTGTTCTTCAGAAGAACTACGTGACTAAAAGATGGCTTTTGTACAAGTTGGGGACAGTTCTTACATTCCTTGATCAGTGGCAGTGTGTCAAGCTTCAGTGATAAAGTGGTGGGAAGCATGGGAAAGTTACAGTAGGGAAACACAGGGGAGAAGGGAAACAAAATATGTGCAGAAGAAAAATGAATGGATTATTAAGTGTATGACATTTAATCTGTGATTTCTTTCTCTTTTCTAAGGTCACTTTTCCCCAGTAATCAGTTTTAGTCCACTAGAAATACTCAGCTCATATTGTATTAAATCAATACCCATTCTGAGGAGTGTGTTATGAAGAGATTTATTTAAATTTTGTGTCCAGTCATAAAGAGGGCTTCTTCACTTCTATTCTAGATATTACTCAGTTGTCTGGGTAGCTAAAACTTGTTAAGATGTTTTCATACAGTAATGTTAAATAAATTACTGTTAGTTATGTAGGTATAGCAGACGTTTTTGTTAGTGAGATACATCAATGAAAAATTGATGTATCTCACTAACAATTTTTTTTTTGAAATACAGTCAAATGGCAGATGACTGCTATATGAGCTTCCACCGCTAGGTGGTAGAATGTTTCAATATTAATACGAACTTTGAAGATAGATAAATGTTCTCTGGGTTCAACTTCAGACTTCGATCTATGCCTTTTTTTGCAGATATTTTACTTTTTGATGGGTTTTTCACTAAAATGGTGCTTCCAAACAAATGTAGACTTCCGTTCTCAGAGTTTTAATCAAAGTGATCATAAGTTAATGCTAAAACTGCCTGTTAATAAGGTCAAAGGGCTCCAAGGGAAAATGTTTTGATGCATTTTGGTGGTAATCAACAATAGTATTGAGTGTGCCTCTTTTTTTGGTAAATAGAATCTAGTGTGTGTAATGGAATTACTCTGTGCATATTATAACTGATAGTGTGGCTTTAGAAAACAAAATTGAAAAATCTGTTCCTGCTTTGATCTTCAGTTAAAGGAGAAATATCTTTTGTACCACTTATTAGGTTTCCATTTATTCATGCTTCAACAGAATGACCAGAACTGTTCATAAGCTTAAGTTGTAATTTTTATTGCTCTTTGAGAGTTGGGGAGAATCTCAGGTTTGTAGCCAGATACATTTTATTTAAAATGTTGGGAGTTGTGCCTTATTTGGAAAGCCAAAGATTATGGGGATAAATGCCACAAATAAGTGTTAATCAAAAAATATTTAAATCTTTTTGGCTGTGAATGAACAGCCTGATGTTTAAAGCTTACTGGCACTGTTAGTTGCTGTAATGTCCTGAAAGTTTTTTTCATTACTACAGGCAAACTGCGGTAGTTCTGACTTAAAATTAAAAAGCAACAACAACAACACATTTGTGTGTCAATATATGAAACCAATAATGTGCCTTTGTATATTTTATAGACTTTTGCTTGTAGGAGGCTGTGAAACAGATGAAGATGGAGTATCTAAAGCAACCGGTTGTGGGATATCTGCTTGGAGAGTTCTATCAGGATCTCCCCATTATAAACAAGTCACTAGTTACGAAGATGACATTAGAACAGTAAGTATATTTTCTCATTTTGTTGGATGATTATTAGCAGAATCATCTAATGAGAAGTTCTGTATGCATCTTCTTGAACTGTAAAAACTTAATGCAGTGTTCTGCTACTTTATAACTAAGTTATGGGGTGAATTTTTAAGTTTCTCTTCCCTTCAAGCATCTGTTTGCTTTTTTCTGTAGTATGATTTGAACTTCTAAGTTTTTAATTATGGCTTGTGGATTTATTTATTTATTTTTTAATGGTGAGGGTGGGACAAATAAACAAATAAGGAAAACCGCAAACCAAATGCTCCTCCTTCTCCCCAGTTTGTATAGTGTAAACATGTGAAATACATCTTGTACTGGGATTATGTCAACTTTTTTTACTGGAAAAATATTTTTGTCTGTTTTATGACTTAAAAAGCAGTAGAACTGTAATATTTCAGTTTTCTGACTTTTGACTTCATTAGTTTCTAGTAGAAATAAATGTTTGATTTGTTAACAGCTACCACATGGTAGTTTGTGAAGGAGTGGCAAGGAACTGCACCAGGGAAGGTTCAGACAGAACACGAGGAAAAATATATGCTCAAACAGGCTTCCTGGGGAGGTTGTTGATGCCCTGTGCCTGTCAATGTTCAAGCAGCATTTGAATAATGCCCTTAAGAATATGCTAACTTCTGGTTAGCCCTGGAAAAGTCAGACAGTTGGACTAGATGATCTTCTTATGTCCATTCCAACTGGACTATTGTATAAATAAATAAAAGGATACACTGAAATCAGCTTACAGTGTTAGGAAAAATTCCAGTATTTATTCTTACATAGTGATTACTTTATACAAAAGCAAGGTCTTCATGGTCTTCCATTTTACTGCAATGAGTAATGCTTTTCCGTCATATGATACATACATACCCAACAAAATGGACAAAATTATCCTTGCATTATTTTAAGATAGGTAGCCTTAGGGAAGCTTAAGAATTTTGAAAAGTTGTTTTGCTACTTCAAATTTTCTTAGCTTTTGGTGCATAAAATGATGTATGGGATTCTTTCATTTCATGGTATATTTCTGTTCTTACAGGCACAGAGAAGAGGATTATTAAGGATTATGAATTTAAGATTTTACAGCAGACGGGGAACAGAACAGGTATTAAGGTGTAGGTCTACCTCAGAAATGTATTCTACTAACATAATTGTCCATTAATGATTGCCTGGGAGACTGATTTGAAAGGAGTTTTTAATTTAAGTAATTAAAGAATTTACATTTCTATAAAGCTTATCAAAAATAGTAAGCTTTTAATTTTAAATGGAGTGGCTTCTGTGGCTCTTTTGAAAATCCTATTAGTTCATCTCTTGAAGCTTAGATGTTGGTGTTTCCAGCATAATGACAGGAACAGTTTTAGTGAAGTAGAGTTCAATCTCAAATAGAATGTAAACCTTCATTCAAAAAGGGAGATGCAAAAACCCACCTAGTTATTCGTTGGTGAATATAATGAACATAGCATGTGAACACTCTAAAAGAGACTTGGTTGTTGTGCTGGTATTCCTCAAATATATGCCTTGAGGGGGAGGGAAGGAATATCCCAAACCAGCCTTATGCACTACCTTACTCCTACCTGAAAAAAAACCTAAAACCCACTTCCCTTACAGCCCTAAATTTTCATACACTAAGTTCAAATCAATCATTCATGGCTTAGATAGGGAAAATGGAGACTTAATTCTTGGGGTCTGTTATGAGATACGAGATACTATGGAAATATTTTCCTAAATAGCTGTGAAAGTTTATGATGAGTCAAACTTCCACTAGCAGGATGCATGTGAAACTAGCAAAACTGCTGATCAGAAGCAATTCGTTAATAAACAAACCCTGGGTATGTGTTTTGTATTCTTTTCTCCCTTGACAGAGTGAATGGTAAGTCTCATCGGATTGAAGTGGTGGCATATATCTTCTATGTTTCTAAGGTTTTGTGCGGAGTAGTTTCAGCTTTCCTCTGCATGCCTTTGGGGCTACCTGTGTGGTATCTGCACCACATTCTCCTGTCTCTTATTTAGTATTTGTGTAAACCCTTTGTTTGATTCCCTCCCCCGCCTTTCCCTCCTTTTTTTTTTTTTAAAAAAAAAAAAAAAGTTTTCCCTTTGTGGTTTACAAGGAAGGAGCAGTAAAGAATTTACCTCCCACTCTTCACTGTGTCCTGTGGAGAGAAAAATGGCTTGTATGAAGTTATATGGACTTGGGAAATAACCTTAATAGATTTTTGGGATGTTTAGGTGACTGGTTAAAAGAAGAAATTGGATGCTTGGTTGGAGGGGAAAACAGATCTTTCTGAATCTCTCTCAAGGGTAGAATGGGAAGAGATTTTATTTCCTTCACTGAAAATATAAAAGAGAAGGCTGAAGTAAAGTGGAAGCTTACTGGAAGGCTAGCACTGAATATAACTGTGCTAAACTTCATCATCAATGCACTTGCCAGTACCAAATTTGCAAAGGAAAGCAGAAATTGTTGTTACTGAATGTTTTAATCCAATTTCTGAGTTGATAGTTTAAATCTGTGAGCTATATTTTACCTCCTTAGTAGGAAATTGACAGCAGTTTTACAATGTGACAGGCACAGCAGCTAGGGGACTTGGTTATAAGAACTACCTGTATTTGGATTAGATTGTTAGAATTGGTAGCTTAAATGGCAGTTTTAAAATGGGAAGTGCCAACCTACTGAAGCTCTCACTGTCTTGTTCTGCAGTTCCCTGAAGTTGACAAGCTGTTTACTGAGGCAGCATTGACTGCTTTGCCAAAGTACTGATTAATCTCTATAGATAACAATGCTTGGGTTGGAAATTTGAACATAGTAGCAGCCATATGGTTGCTATTTAAACAGTAAACGTGTTGTTACCAATACTAAGTAGTTATTTAATCTGTGTTTAAAATCTGTGTTATGTACTACAGACTGTTCATCGGAATGGCTTAAATATTTTAGGTCTGTGTTTCTAAGTCCTTTAACAGTCTCTTGTTCTTAGCACTCTGTGCATGCAACTTGATTTCTAAAAAGAGAATTACCTTTAGTAGGCATGCACTATCCTTGAGAAACTAGAATACAAATTGCACAAATTACAAATACAAATTTACACTCTAGGTACTTAAGAACATAATTGGAGAACACTTAAGAGTTATGAATATTAGAAAAAAAGTCATAATTTGTTTTAAGATATCTTAATATGCCTTCCATTTTGTGTAAAAGCACATTGAAAGCTTGAATTTAAGCAGTGCTCTCAATAAGTTGCAAACCAGGCAAGTGTGAGAACAATGAGCAGATTGCTTGATCATAATTGTTTCTATGGCATAGCTAGAACTTAAAACAATTATAATAAAAAGCCAAAATAACTAACCAAAATAAAACTGCAAAAAGGAGTCATCTTCAAATGATATCTGTTCTTAATTTGCTGTAGATTTTGTATTAGAACTTCATGATCATATTGAAGTATAGTAACTCATCTATAGTTCACTTACGTTGAGATATTTTCCGAGAGGGGAGGGTGTTGCTTAAAAATTGATTAGTGTGACTTGGATAGTTCTAAATCCTAGATACTGAGTGTTTAGTGTTACTATAGGATTAATGTTTATTAGAAAGCTTTTAGAAAGTGAGCTATGGTAACAAAATGAGATTCTATGATCAATATCAAGCTTTCAGAATCTGTGTGCTTCTCTTTTTCAGTGAAGACTAGACTCTGAGAACCTGATGGTGACATGCACAAAGGAATATAAATCCTGTTTTCAGAAGCTGTTATGCATTGCTAGGGCACTAAGTTGGGCTTTAATACGAGTGTATATTTTGTCTCATGGGAATGATGTAGGGATGCAGTTGTAATTGTAGGGGAGTTCATGAATCCTTAATATTAAGGAAATATTTTGTTTGTAGGAGCGAGGCCACTACATTTTGCCTGTAAGGAAAACTTCATCCAGGAGAAGCAATGTAATATTTTGTAGCTTTGCTAAGGTTTACTAACAATTGTTGAATTATTTCTTCAGTATGGCCTTAATCTGATGTTTGGACTATTGCTGCTTCCTCTGTTGCTACCCAACCAAAAGTCTGCTACTGGGGGGGGAAAGAGCTGTGTGCTAAGCTGCATTTGGGTAGCCATCTTTCTTGGAAGGTGACTATGTAGGCAGGACAACAGGAAACTGAGGCTGCTAAATGATTTCTGTAAACAGATGGTTTAAGAACAGCCTGAAGATTTTTCCCTGCATTCTCAGATTTTATTTATTGTATAGAATGTGATAAAGAAGTTCATATTCTCAGAGTTTTGTTAGCAGTTGTAGTATTCTTAATTTATATAGGTTGTTTTCACTTTTCCATACCACAGTTGTTTTACCTTCATTTTAACTTTTTTTTTTTAATATTAAAATATTAAAAACAAACAAACAAAAAACAACAACAACAACAAACTTTTAAAATGTGTTCAGGTTGACTTTTTTTTTTTCTGAAAAGATGAGACTTTTTGTTTTTGCTGACAATGTTTGGCAGGATGGAATTTTCAAGATGAATCTTTCCCCTGATGGAGCTCTTCTGGCAGCTATTCATTTCTCTGGAAAACTGACAATCTGGTCTATTCCATCTCTCAGACAACAAGGAGAATGGGACCAAGCTGACCAGGTAAGAGGGGCATACGTGTTTAGAAACCTGCTGTATACGTTTTAATCCTCTGGAGATACGTTTCCGTAGGAGATGAGTGAAGTTCAGATGACTGTGCTTTAACTGCATACTGTCATTCCAGTAAATGGAGAAGCTTTGTATTCTGATCTCCAAGATCATCTGGTACAACTGTACCACTACCACTGATATCACCCACTAAACCATATCCCTAGAGCACCATGTCCTACCTTTCCTTACACACCCCCAGGGATGGTGACACCACCACTTCTCAAGGCAACCTGTTCCAATGTCTAACGACTCTCTGAGAAGAAATGTCTCCTCATTTCTAACCTAAACCTCCTGTGGCGCAACTTGAGGCCATTCCCTCTAGTCCAATCACTAGTTTCTTGTGAGAAGAAGCTGACCCCCAACTCCCCACGCCTTCCTTTCAGGTGCTCCTTTCAAGAGCAATAAAGTCTCCCCTGAGCCTCCTCTTTTCCAGGCTAAACAACCTCAGTTCCCTGAGACGTTCCTCACAGGACTTGTGTTCCAGGCCTTTCACCAGCTTCATAGCCCTTCTCTGGACACTCTTGAGCACCTTGATGTCCTTCCTGTAGTGAATGGCCCAAAGCTGAACACAGTACTCAAGGTGCTACCTCACCAGAGCAGAGAACAGGGGGAGGATCACCTCCCTGCTGTCTACACTATTCCTGATACAAGCCAGGATCCTGGTGGCTTTCTTGGCCACCTGGGCACACTGCTGGCTCATGTTCAGGCGAGCATCAATCAGCACCCCCAAATCCTTTTCCTCTGCACAGCTTTTGAGCCAGTCTGCCTTGAGCCTGTAGCACTGTTTGGAGTTGTTGTGGCCAAAGTGCAGGACCCAGCACTTAGTCGTGTTGAACCTTATCCCATTGGCCTCTGTCCATTAACTCATCTTGTCCAGGTCCCTCTGCGGGCTTTCCTACCTTCCAGCAGATCGACACTTTCCTCCAGCTTGGTGCCATCTGCAAACTTACTGAGAATGCACTCAATTCCCTCATCCAAATCATCTGTAAAGATATTAAAGAGGATGGGCCCCAACACTGACCCCTGGGGAACAGGGTGGGTAACTATAGCTTAACTGTAGTTAATCAGTTGGATCTGGTTAGACTGTATAGTTTGTATTAAGGAAACCTGTAGTGTTTTTTTTTTTCCTTTTCTCCTCTCTCCCTTTCATTAATTTAACTGGAGAAAAGTTTAACTTCCGCAGGTGTATGTTTTATGATCGGGAAAGGTTTGAACTTCTGTGGGAAAAATGAGTGGGTCAGCAGTGAAGTAAATAAACAGATTGTGTTAAAGATTTCACAGAATCACAGAATTTCTAGGTTGGAAGAGACCTTAAGATCATCGAGTCCAACCTCTGACCTAACGCTAACAGTCCCCACTAAACCATATCCCTAAGCTCTACATCTAAACGTCTTTTGAAGACCTCCAGGGATGGTGACTCCACCACTTCCCTGGGCAGCCTGTTCCAGTGTCTAAGAACCCTTTCAGTAAAGAAGTTCTCCTAAATTTGCTTGCATATTAATCCTTCTTGTTTCCTCTCACGTTTATGTAGCCAGGTTATGATGAAATCAACCCAGACTGGAGTCTGTCTAGTGAAAAAAGAAAGAAAATAAAAGGTATGTGGTGCAGTTGAATTGTTGTTTTAAGTTATGGCGTGGTTAAAAGTATTTATACAAATGTACAAGGGTAGCTTAATTAAATCATAGTTAGGGTGGTTGACAAGATTGTGTGTACGATCTGAATTTGTAGCATGACATAGCTAAATGAGTGCCACAGTATAGTTTTTAAAAATCCTCTCCTAGGAATATTCTTGTAGCCATAATCATAAATAAGAGGGTATTTCAGCTAGTACAGGACTTAATTTATTATTAATCGTGATTATGACTAGAATGCTGAACAGTCAAACAGTTGTCTTAGGTTGTATCAGAAGCTACTACATCATAATATGATGAAATTATAATAATAATAATACGTTTTTTAGATTCCACAGTCTAAAACATAAACTTACTTTTATGTCGTTTGTGTATGTCTAATAAATCTTGAATGCTAACGTAATATAGAGATATTATTTCAAAACTCTGAAATAAAAGGTCTTTCTGACCTGTGGCTTGTTTTACCTTATGTCAGTATTCTATTATTTTCCTAAAATTCAAGCCATCGCATGCAGCCATCGACAGATAGATAGATAGCCCTAGATATTGCATGGCTCTTCCAAGAGTGCAGACATCAATAGCTGTTTGTGATCCATTTGCTGGTGCTTCTATATATCTATACTACTAAAAGCTCTGTGTTTTTTTGTGCTGTTTTTCTTGGTGATCCTTTTATTTTCAGTTAATTCTTCTGATCTTTATGGGTAGCCTGCTAACTAAGCACTGAAGTAGCAGAAAAGTAATAAGCTGATCTGTTTCTCTGTCCTTTTTGGGTAATGGTTGGCTTTTATTAGAGAGGTGGGTAATGGTAATGTATTAAATTGAGCTAACTCTTTGAGATGAACATTTTGGTCCCAATACCCAGTTATTATAATAGAAATAATCTTAGAAGTGACACGGCTTCCATCCGCATCTGTGGTGATTTTTTTTTCTTGTTGGTGCTTAAATTTTCTTAATAACCACATCTTGTAGGCTGTCTCAGGAGCCTTGTTCACAGTTGTCACTTGTCCTCAAAAGTAGTGTGACCTTTTCTGAGTTTCATCAATATAACATTCCTTGCCAGGGAGACTTGATCAAGGATGGACTGGGAAGTAAAGTATAAAAGAGTTCTTTATCAAATATCTAAATTCTGTCATGTTTTGTGCAAGTAAATTGGTTTACTGTGAACTTTTTTCTAAATAATATTAAAGAAAAATACTTAGGTTAAGTCAAAAATTGAATTATTTTTTTCCCCCTATAACAACTTTAGTTAATGCAGAATTGATTTCAGTAAACTGCAGTTGGCCCAAAATGCAAATCTAGTGAAGTAAGGATGCATATAAAATAATAAAATGTTTGTTAAATTAGGCCATCAGATGAAATCTTTTAATTGAAGCCACTTCAGTTCTTATCTGGTGTTTAAAATTATCTTCCCTTATGTGATGCTTTCTTAATTCTTTATTTTAGATAAAGAATCCTATTACCCACTGATAGATGTAAATTGGTGGGCAGATAATTCTGTGATTCTGGCTCGCTGCTCTGGTGCGTTAACTGTGTCATCAGTCAAGACATTAAGAAACTTGCTGGGAAAGTCATGTGAATGGTTTGAGAGTTCTCCTCAGGTTACTTCAGCTCATGATGGAGGATTTCTAAGTCTGGAGGTGAGGAATACACAACATTCTGGAAAGCAACAGAAATAATTTGCTTTTGTGTATGTAATCCTAAGGATGTTGCATGCATATGTATATTATCATTAATAGGAAAAGTGATTCTGCCTCCTTATCTCTAGGCAGGCAATTCTGAACATCCTGCAATTCAACTGTCTTTAAGTTCCTTGGCAATTAAGTTATGTAGACAGCAGATGAAAAAACTTGTAGAAGCCCAGCTCTGAATGAAAGGAAAGGAAATTCTGCAGGAAACAGTTTGTGTCAACAGTCAGTTTTCACTGCTTCGTTTGTTAGTGCATTTGAAGAATACTGCAAGAATGCTGCACCCTCTCCCATTTTGAAGCAGGTGTCTCTTGAGTATATTTAAAATAAATATGGAACAAATTGAAATTAAGACCAAGTTGTGCAAGGGATCTGTGTTTTTGTTAATCCTTGGTAGGATTCCAGACAGGAGTAGGAGGTACCTTTGGTAGTAAAGTTAACCAGAACTTTCCTTTGTTTCAAAGAAACCAATTATTTCCTAAGACTTTCACTGAAATAGATCTTAAACGAACAATGACAAAAAAAATTGTCAGAATCTCTCAATGTGTACCAAAGCTTGCATGCATGTTTTTTGAAAAGTTTATTATTTTAGAAATAAGATACAGCCAGTGACTTGCATGTTGTAGGAAGAAGAACACAGGGAAGAATAGTTGGAGATATATATATCTTTTCAATACAAATATAACTTGCGCTTATCTCATACACTGACATAAGCTGTGTAACAGTGTGCTGAGATTTAAATATGTCTCGGTAGTTCTGTACTGTCTGGGGTGATGTAGGATAGTGTATCTAGTGCAATAGTGGGTTAGTTTTAACAAACCTTTGCCCTTCCTTAGCAGGTAAAGGATGAAGTCTTAAATCAAGGAGAATATTAATCAAGCTGAGGAGTGAAGGGTTTAAAGGAGGAATAATGTTGATGCAGCAATTTGAAGTTCTGGAAGTGGAGGTTTACTGTATTCTCACCAAGCTAGATGAGATATACTAGGTGGAAGCTTTGTATTCTACTAAGAATTGTTTTCTCTGCAGTGTGAGATAAAACTTGTTCCAAAAAGATTACGCTTGGAGAGCAGACCTGGTGATGAAGATGAGGGAGAAGATGACTCTGACTCTGATGATGAAAATTCTGCTAAGGACAGATACTTCAGCTACCTGAAGCAAGGCCTGTACTTCGTGACAGAAATGGAACGATTTGCTCCACCACGAAAACGTCCGCGTACTATTACAAAAAATTTCCGCCTTGTTAGCTTGAGGTCCACAACTCCAGAGGAGCTTTACCAGAGAAAAGTGAGTACTAAAGGGAAGGTTGTATCTGATAATGAGCTTTATTTAGAAATATTAAAAAAAAAAAAAACAAACTTTTAAAAATAGTTGTTATACTAGGAGTAGAACTTAGGCACATATTTCTAGGGGGTTTCATATTTGAAAATGGGCTATGTTAAACCATAATAATTCAAATAAGATGTTTGCAGGTAACTGTGCTTCATTAGTGTTGGAATTGTGCTCATGTGAGTGTTTACAAATAATGGGGAGGCTGAGCAGGTATGTTGAAAGAAATTAGTTCTGTTTGTTACTGCCCAGAGAATGGGTTAACTTACACTCTGATATTAATGTAATTTACGTGCATACTTTTTCACATATAATGTACATAAAAAGTAGTCCTGTGACACATTTTTATCAGAGAAGAGATGCTTCTTCATCTTGAAGACTTCTCTAGGCAGTACTTCGTTTAGGACATTTTGGTTGTTCTGATGGCAAAGCAGTCAAGCCTAATAGCTATTAGAGTTTCGAGGGGGTGCTAATGTCATACTGGTTGCCTAAACTTCTTCCTTTTTATTGAGGAAAAGTCTCTGTTTTTCTAAAGGCTTCTGTCAGATCTGGGTCTTATTCATTCTTATCTTATAAGCCATTCACTTCCCTACCTGCTTAAGCATACCCATAGTAATTATCCCTCTACCTGTTTCAACACAGAGAATTAATAATTGATCGCTTAATGTGGATTTTAATTTTCATGTGTTTACTTTTCAGATTGATAATGAAGAATATGGGGAAGCTCTGTCTTTGGCTCAAGCATATGGCCTTGATTCAGATCTTGTCTATCAGAGACAGTGGAGGAAATCAGCTGTTAACGTTGCTTCAATTCAAGACTATTTGGTGGGTTTGTTTTTGTGACCTTTAGGCTTTCTTTTCAGAATGCCTTTGTTATCCTCACAGAAATTGAATTGTGTTCTAATTTATGCAACATAAATTGGTGGCAGTTCGGAGAGCTGTCCTGCAAATTCCATTTGTGTGTCATGTGAGAGAGAGTGATCTTGTTAATTTAACTGAAGGCTTGATTCAGAGACCTTAAAAGTTAATGGAAATCTTTCCTTTGGAATATCTTCTAATTTCAGTTAATAGCTCTCTCTAATGTAATCTCTTTCTTACGTGTAGCGGTAGATTGTTTCACGGCAAATGAATAATAATTAGAAATGGAATACATTTAAATAACTTCCAGGTATTTTAGAAAATCATGTGGGAAGGTTAAGTTGGTATCCATAGCTATTGCAAAGGTTGAATAACAAAATTTATATTAAATTCAACCCGTGACTGGACTGTTTCAGTAGAATCCACCATGGGTTTTGTTTGTTTTAAAGAGAGTTACCTAACTTAGCAGACAAGCATCATCAAAGATGCACAACCTAATGGTGCATTAATGTAAAATCTTCTATGAGATCAAGAGAAATATCATGTAGTTTTATTTATTTCAAGTCATACATTATTTAAATGTCAAAGTAAGATTTTCTAAGTGACCATTCTCCATATGCTATGTAATCTCAACTGAAGATTGGCATATAAAGCCAATAATCCTTTGTAACCTCTCTGTGTCTGTGGTCTTCTGTAGCAGAAGAGACAGATACTGAGAATAACTCAAGCCCTGTTGGGGAATACACGAAATCTGTAACAGCTGTATCTTTGGCCCCAAAACATCAAATTTGATACAGTATAATCAGGAGTGATACTAATTAGGGAGCAGAAATAACAATTTCTGTTCCTCTTGTTGTGACTGGTCTGCTATGGTCGTTTGGCTTTTGTGCCCTCTTCTGCCATGTAAACTCTGATGGAATTATGTTTTTTTCATTCTTTGCTTCTCTTTCTATTGGAGGGCTATATTCAGTGACCACTGATTTTCTTCAGGATACAATTTCTTGTGCTGGAGGCTTCTCTTTAGCTAGGAAACAAAGTCATGTGGAGAGCACTGCAAAGAGAATTAACACCATTACATTAACTGAACAAAACGAAGTCCACATACTGATAAAACAGAACTGAACAGAATTGTGTGGAGTATTTTCCCTATCTCACTTTTTTTTTTGGTTCACATTGCCAGTTATGAGATAAACTCGGTGTTTTCTTAATGTTCTAATGTGTTTCTTCTACTTAACGTTTCCGTTTTCATTGCTTTGGATTGAAACATATAACATTAGGCCTGTGCTTTTGTCTTGGACAGAGCAAAATTAAGAAGCGTGCATGGGTTCTTCATGAGTGCTTGGAAAGAGTTCCAGAGAATGTGGATGCTGCAAAGAAGTTGCTACAGTATGGCTTGAAAGGCACAGACTTGGAGGCTCTTGTGGCCATAGGAAAAGGAGAAGATGGTGGCAGGTTTGGAAAGAGTGTTTTTTTTTTTTTTTTTTTTTTCCCCTCCTAAATCAACTAATAGTGAAAATATTAAGATGCTTTGGCAGGGCATTAAAAAAGACATAATGCTCTGAATCAAACTATTCTATAGATGTCTGCAAGGTGTTTGTTGCCATTTTACCTTTGACAAAGTACTTCGATAATGAATTTTCCCCTATGTCTGGTGCCTGCTACCTTTTCCATTACAAAGAACTTCTGATGTTGTGATTTTTCTGTGAGACTCTGTTTCTGCTGCCTCTTCTGGTAGCTGCAGCTACTCCTAATGAAGATGTTTTATTGTACGTCTTGATTGTTGTGATAATATTTTGGAAAGCAAAATGCGGTGGGAAGATTGGGTCAGCAGGTAAACGTATGCAGAGACAATTCTCTTTGGCATTCAGTTCCTGATGGAGAGGAATAGGATGTTCTCTCTTCATCCAGTCATCTATTACAATTGTAAGTTGTAGAAACATTGCCAATTTCAGTGTTACATGTAGTCTTCAGAAGCTTTTACCATCATACCATCATAGTTGTGGGTATTTTCCTTTTTTTGGAGGTTGGGGGTCGAAGAGGTGCTTTTTGATGCCTTTTGTTTGATTTTGCTGAGTATATTCTTACAACAGCAAAATTCAGTTTTATAATTTTCTATGAAAGTTTAAATTTTTAGTCGAGACATAAGTAGAAAACTGTGTCAATCTGCTTTTTCAGTAACCGTTCTTCATATCTCTTTTTTTGTTTGTATCAACATTGATTTGGTTGTTGTTTTTGTCCTCCAGATTTATCTTACCAGGGGAGGTGGACATTGAAATTCCCTATGAAGACTTCTTGTCAGCAGACGAAGAAACAGATGCTAAAAAGGAAAAAGAGGCCAGGAAGCATCAAGAACTGCTGTTATCAGTAAACTTCTCAAAGTAAATGCAGTGTTAAGCCATGTTCTATTCAGACTTATAGTCCTGTAACTACAGAGTTGCAAGAACATTCTTATGTACATTATTCCTGATAGAAAAGTTGTGTAGATTTTTATTTGGTGTCACGTTTTATCAAACTTCTCAATTTACTTCACTTCTCAGTATTCTCCAGTGCACAAAATCATTCAAATGTGTAGCTGTTTTCTTCATATGTATATGATATACAGTATCAATTGTAAACATGAAAATTCTTGCTTTGTTAAACAGGCTAACGCTGGAACAAAAAGAACTCTGCCGTAGCAGGCTGAAGCTGTTAATTTATCTTGATCGCCTTGAAACCTACGAGGTAAAGGAACTTGATAACTGACTTAAGTTCTTTTGAATTCTCATTTATACAGTTACTCCTGTAACATTTTTGTCTCATCGTATTTTTTTGTATGTTGTAGTATTAACATTCATAGTCTTGTTGAAATGCAGGTCTCTCTCTTGAGAAATGTAAGCTGTTTTCTGTTCAGGCTACCTCATTTCTTGTGCTTCAAGGTTGCAAATGGCTAGCTTTTAGCTTTGAGAAGCATAGTGGGGCAGAAGCCTGTTTTGAACATACTGTGGCAGTCTGCCAGCAAAACACAGACTGTTTTCCCATTTTTTTCAGGAATAGTCATGTACAGTTTAAAGTGCATGTTAGCTGGTATTAAGTGCACTTGGCATTTACACATGAATATGGCATTAAACTAAAATGTCAGAGGGGAAATCTGATGTGTCTTGAATAATTGAACAGTTTTGTGTGTAGGAAATAACTTATACAACAACATGGAATCTAGAATTGGTGCAGGATTATTATTGCTTTGAAGCTACCTTAATCAGTCTATTTAGGAAGTTCTATTCGGATTTTCTAGCAAATCTTATTTTTCTTTCACGAGTAACAGAAATGAAACTTTTTGGAATGGAAGACTGTTTTGCTTATTTTTTTTTTTAACTTAACTTTGCAGTTGATACCATTTAAGTTGTGATTTTTACCAAATCCCTTTGTAACTAATGTTGCCTACACCCTAATTCAAATAACACAGAATTGCCATAGCTTTAGTCGGAAACAAATGTTTTTCATACTGAGATAGAAAAAAAAACCACACACACACGCAAAAAAAAAAAAGCAAAGAAACAAAAAAAAAAACCTGACCCCTCTCCCATGTTTTCCAGGTATAATTCATGCTTCATCATTGTATGATAAAGAAACACATTTTTTAATGCTTCTGTAAATCTTGTATAAAAAAAAAAGTATCATTTTTTAAAGGAAATCCTTGGAGGACCTCATGCAGCTAAACAGCACTACGATGGTGAATTCTTCAAGAAGTTCAGAAATCAGAATATTGTGCTTTCAGCAAGAACTTATGCTCGGGTATTAATATTTTACTATAACATATTTTTTTGCCTCTTTGACTTACGTGCATATTTTTTTCTGTTGAACTTGGTTGAATCTCAATGGAAATTGAAGAACTGGAGGGTGTATTTATTTGCATTTATTTATTTACAATCTGTGACCTCAATCTAATTCTCCTTATTGCTGAGGAAAATCTTAACATTAAATGTTGTGTGATCAAAACTTACGTTACTTGCTCAGTTTCAGTCTATATCAGTCCTAAACCACCACAATATATTGTTTTTCTCTTTAGGAAAGCAATGTCAGAGCCCTGGAAATCTTGTTCACTTTCCATGGATCAGCTTTGCTTCCACACAGACAAGCAATTCTCTCCAATTTCCCAGAGACTACTTCACCGCATGAATATGCCTTCTTGTTGCCTGAAGCTTGGTAAGAATACGTTAGTATTCTTAACTTAAAAAACCCTTTACCTTAAAAAAATAAAATAAAATCCCAAATCAGCTCTCTGTATAAATTGGTTTCCATTTGTGGTGATCTGTTGTTAGTTATTTCCTGGAATCAAGAGAGCAGCTTTGTCTTTGTTATTTGTTTTACTTTGTGCCATTTATGGAAGCTTTTTTTATCTCGTTTGTTTATTTATGAGAAAGTAGGGAAACTAGATTTACTTTTCACCATTACCCAAAAATGGAAGCACGTCCTTTTCTGATGTGGAACTACCCGTATTTACACCTGTGAAAATCTAAGTCTGTAAGTGGTTTGTAGTAACAGCCAGCATTAAGAGGCTAAAAAGTGTTTAGCTCCCTGGAAGGAACATAAATATTACATTCTTCTGGATTTGTTTCTAAATGCAATTAACCTTTAAGGAAGCAATAACTTCAAAATCATTAATCCTCTTGTCACTGATTGTTGCTCTCCTTACAAAGGTAGAATTAGGGAAAGTCTTACATCCAGACTTTTCTATTCATTCACTTGAGCTTATAAATGTTAGTTTACTGTCAATTTTATGTTAATTATTCATACAAATTTTCATAAGATTGTCTTTCTTGAACATCGTAATAATGTTCTGTGTATTAATTAGAAGAAATTTTTGCTTCTAGGATGTTTCTTTCAAATACTTAAGTTACAAAATCAGTTTTGAAATATATTGCTCAGTGCTTATAAAGAATTGGGGAGATTTAATTATTTAATATTTTGCAATAGTAAAGTATCTTTTTTTGGGAAGGATACTTTTTCTTGGAGTAGCTAATAGATACTTATTTTTTATTTGTAGTCTTCCAACATTATAGTTAGAATTTTGACTTTGAAGTTTTAACTGTACCATTTGAGTAATTCTCCACGCAGAAGAATTTTTATTCATATATTTATTCCCCTGACATTTTTCTTGGTTTATAGTACTTATAACTTCTACCTTTTCTGAGTAGAAATTAGTGTTTATTTCTTGATATCAAATACTTTTTTTAGTGTCCTTTTTATCATTTTGAGAATATTGGGAACACACTTATTTATGGTGTGAAAACACTTTATGTAAGGTGACAAAATTACAAGAAGAAATTACTGCAATGTTTATAAAGTTGGGATGATAGATTCTAAATTTTCTTTTTTGTTTTAATAAGATTTATTGTCTGAGAGGGAGGGAGGAAGGCTTTTCTGAAATGTGGTTATGATTTTTTTTTTGTTGATGTTTGCAAACAGGCTTTTCTTCTTTCTGAAAGATTTTTTTTTTTTGTATTTTGTTGCTGCAGTTGCTTGGTTGGTTTGCTTAAGAAACTGACTTATGTGCTAGCAGGTAAAATTTTAAGGTTTAAATATTAAAATATTTCACCATTGCTCTAGTAACAAAGATATGAAGTTATGAGTTAAAAACTTTAGTTTTGTCTACTGCTGAAGAATGGAAGTATGTAGTTTGAATCTTTATACCCCTGGCAGATTGGAGAGAACCTGGCAGTGCTAGGATCAGCAGATATGTTCAGGTTTGTGATTTTCTGCAAGTTGCAGAGTAGATGACACTGTACAAGTGCAAAATGTAAATGAGAGCAAATAGCATGTACACAGGAAATACTTACTACATTTTTATATATCTGATCTAACCTTGTTTCTAAAATTAACCCTGTTGCAAACCTGATTACTAACAGTATTGCTAGGCACACTCACAAAAGCTATTATATAAATGTAATAGTACGAAATATTTACTAATGAAAGTATCTATAATTGTGAGAATAACCTACTAATGAAATACACTGAAGTTTACTTAAGTGTAGACTTGATTTTATATTAATTTTTTTCTTAAATGGAACGTTTATTTTTTTCTTCCAGATAGCTTCAACTTCTGAGAATTCACATGAATCAAAATGAATCCATGTGAATCAAATATAACTAAAGTTCTTGGTGATTGTAAATGAGTTTACTAGGTCTTTTATTTCTCCCAATTTTTATAAATGGGAAGTTAGTATAAACAGAATTGCTGGCAGTCTGTAGATATGCAGTTTTTGCTGTGAATTCCAGTTTAGAAGAATGTGCTGTGTAGCTTTACTTCCCTGTAGAACAGAGCATGCAGATAGAATTTGTCTTAAATAAACTGATTGAACAAGGTTGTAATTCAATTTATGAAAATATTTAATTCCCACATAATATTAAAAACTTTCAAGTGCTGACTGTAATAAGCATGTGAACAGAAGGGAAATATTGCAAAAGGGAAGCAGGGGGAATAAAGTACTCCTGGGAGTTGTCCCTATTTCCTGTGTTTATGGAGCATGATAAAAGATGGTTATGAGTTAGTCTTCTGAGGTGGCTCCTCCTTTTGGAAATTCACCACTTTGCTCTGTGTTCCTTCATCTCTAGGGTAATGCGGATGAGGAAGAACCTTGAGAATGCTAGTAGGTGCTGCTTTATTCGAGCATGGGACAAGTGAGATAGTGCAAACAGGCACCTTTAGCTGTTGACAACAGAAAGGCATTGGTACTTAACTGTTTGCTGTACAACAGCACCAATGTGAATGCACGTAGAAGTGCTGCATCTGGAGAATGCATTACTTATGAGAAATATTTTTGGAAAGATTGCATTATGACTGTTATTTCATTTTTGTATGGTGCCTTGAGTTAAGCTGTAGGTAGTATACTCCTAAGTACTCAGGGAAAGAAATGCCTGTTTTGCTAGCGCATCCTATAGAGCATAAAGCAGGTTTTTGTCTTGTTACTGGCACATTATCTATGTTAGTATGGCAGTAGAGTCTGGTTTCACAAAAAACTTTAAGGCTTAATCAGTCAAAAAGAAGTTGGCATAACAAAGATAAGAAGATGTAGATTTTTTTTGTCTTCTGGGCCAGGTTGTTAGGAAACATGTATTTTTTTTCTTTGTCTGCTTGTAAAACATCTCAGGTGATAGATGTCCTTTTTTTTTTCATAATTTTTGCTGCATGTTTTGTAGCTTAGCACCTTTTGGTGATCACTCTCAGAACTGTTCAGGTTTATAGTAACTGATTTATGCATTCATGAGAATGTTTAAAAGGACTGGGAGTTACATAACCGCAACAGCTCCCTGAAGCTGAGAAGGAATCTGAAATACTGAGATACACCCATGGCTCTACATGCCTGTCAACTTCAAACTGACGTTGTGATGGACTGAAGTTACCTAGTAATGTGTTTTTGCAGGGTTGTGATTTTTTTCTATTTCTGTAATGTTTTTCTGTAATGTAATGTTTTTCTACTTCTTTTACTTTTCATATTATTTCTCAGCTTCTTGTATAATGATGACTTCTGAATCTGTAATAGGTCTGGGTTATTGGGAGTCATGCTTCTTCTCAAAGATCCGTCAGGGGCAGAGTATCTGTTAAAGCAACTAGGGTAAAGGTTATAAAAGTTTAGGCATTCAGAGTAGTTGATAACTCTTTCTAATCTCTATTTTAATAACTGTAGCTAGCATTCTTAGTTTATGGTTAAGGCTGTTGCCCTCAGGTTTTTAAAGGTGATCTCATAGGAATATAATGCTTTACTGCTGTTGTAAATACATAACCTGAGTCTTTTCATTTTCTTTTAATTTTCTTATCCTTATTACATTTAACTGTTATACTGCAACATTACTGTTCACACTTAAGACTCACAGAAGTTGGGAAATTCAAATGTATGGTTCCCTCAATAGCCATAACTCTCATATATTGCACACTTCACCAGTAGTAAAAACCTTCACTTAAAGATAGGAGAAACATCTAGAAGTCACTTTTTAACTTTGAACTTCTACAAATATTGTTTTTCAGTCATGGCTTACAATGAATTTTTAATGGAGAGTTGTGAATGAACTCCATTTGGCTGATACTCTGGGATAGGAATGGAAATATCTTTTAAAAACATAAAGTGAAGCTTTTAAATGCTGAAAAATTCCATGCAGTAGACTCTCATCTGTGAACAGAAAAATACTATGTAATTAAACGGAGAGGTTTGTAAGCAGTTAACTTTGCCTTTGCAGGATGTTATCTGCTCCTGAATGATGTCTTTAGTTATTGCCTGTGGCACTGCAGTTTCAACAAAGTGATTCTGTCTTCATGTCTACTTTTCTTAGTATGTAATCGGTTTGATGACTGAACATCTACAGAACTGTTGAACATAGACTACTAGTTCTCTTCTATTAGTTTTTCTTCTCTTCTGCTGAACTGCTTTTGTTTTTAAAGTAGCTCAGAAGTGTTCATCTTTAAAGAATTCATCCTGTGGTCAGTTTTCTTTTTTGTTTGTATTCCTTTTTATAGCACTACCATGAGATAAAACTTCTGTTCTTCTTATTTATATGCAGTACTTTACACTAAGGGAAAGAGGGGAAAACACAAAGTGGTTCAGAAATAGAGGATCAGTGTAGTTAATATTAATTTCAAGGATCTGCTTTGAAAAAAAAATCACAAATCTCACCTCCTACTGAGAATTAGGAAAATCAAGTTTTGAGGGGAAGATTAAATTTACATGACAGCATACAGTCTGCTCTTTGGACTGACTTCTGGTAGGAGTGAAGAAAGTTCTTCTGGTCTGTGTAAAAATTAAAACAGTGGTTCGGAAGAAGAGAAGCTCTTCTTAAAGCTGGCCTGTGTGGGGATATGTGGATTTTCAGGGACAGCTCACTTAGGCTAAAAGGATGCTGCAGAAAGTAAGCTGGTGAGTTACTGTAGGTATTAGTCTTGTAGATTTTTTTAAAGATGAGAATGAGAACTTGAAGCAATGAAGGGACTATGGAGAACATGAGCTGTTGACAAGGGAGATGGGAAGCTTCACAAGAACTGCTATGCTTAGGCAGAGTTGCCATTCAGAGGGACAAGATTATTCCAAAAAGGCAAAAGGAAAGCCCTGCTTTTGCATGTGAAGAAACCATTGTAACAATAAGGGTTGGAGACTGGCTGGGCAGCAGCTCTGTTGAAACAGACCTTGAGGTTCTGGTGGACACAAGCAGGTTAT